CTAATGAAACTTGGTACTTTTTCACAAAATGGCTTCAGCAATACATGTATATCTAATAAATGGCTCAGTCTTTGGGTAGACGAGTTCGGACCTCCAACAATAGGTCGAAAAGATAAATCCTGTGGATTAAGGCAGGTAATACATTCAGAATTCTGAGATTCTATTGCGTTCTTAAACTCCTCCCCCTTTTTAAAAAGTTTAAAAATGTCAACATCAAATTTACAATAGATACCAGTGAAAATCAATTACCATTCCTAGATGTTCTCGTTATTAAAAAGGACACAATGATCATTACTGATATATATTACAAAGTGACGGATACACACCAATACTTACATTTTGGTTCTTGTCATCCTCATCATACCAAAACATCCATTCCTTATAACCTCGCCAGACGTATATGCGCCATTATCAGTTAAAAAGATACAAGGGACATTCGTTTATGTGAACTTAAAACCTATCTTTTAAAACAGAAATATCCAGTCCAACTTATTGATAATGGAATACTTTAAGCCAAGGAACATGAAAGATCAGAATTACTTTTAACCAAAGGAAGTGAGGATAACGAGAATATTATTCCCTTTGAACATACTCATAATCCTCAGAATCAGAACATCAACTCCATTGTTAACCAACTGAACACCATTCTCAAAGAGGACCAAACAACAAAGCCAATTTATGAAACGTACTATTTATCTCAAGTAGACGTCAACCAAAGAACCTGAAAAGACTACTATGTAACTCTAATTTTGAGGAAAACTATTCAGTGACTAAATGTAAAAATCCTCGATGTGGACCCTGCGACCATCTAACTGAAGGAACTTGTTATAACTTTAACGGCCGAAGATTTACAGTGAACGCCAATATGTCGTGTGACACACAAAATGTTTTATATATTATAACCTGTCCAGGATGTAGTGAATATTATATTTGTAAGACCAGTAACACTCTCCGTACCCGGGTTCGTATTCACAAACAGCATATCAACACACCAGAATACAGGCAGATACCACTTAGTGAACATTTAGACGTGTGTGGACAAATTTCCTTTTTATAAAGTAACAGGAGGAAATGATATTTGTAGACGTCAAAAAGAAAAACATATTATTTGTACGTTGAAACGAAGCTTAACAATCTGATTTAATATATATATCAATTTAATTATGTATGCATATGTATATCTGTATTTTTATTGAAGTTTTCCCGAACCTTTTTCCTGAACGAAAAGAGCAATTGACTATGACGTCATAGTACATTTGACTTCACAATTACGACGTCATATACTGCGCGTATCATTGTGTAACATTACTATGTAACTACTGTTGTTTATTTTGTAAAGCTTCTGAAGATAGAATGAAAGGGTTTACTGACTCCCAGTTGATTGGACACACAGTTCATGTTCCATGTACGAAAAATTTCGAATACGAGACAGGCTACTAACAAATAAGTTGATCATACAAGGATACCAACAATCTCGTTTAAAGTCAACATTTCGTAAATTATATGGTCCATAAACTGACCTTGAGCTGATCTTACGAAATTTTAAAATGCTAAAGAAAAGACACAATTCCCGGGCAATTTTCCACACGCCATGAACTATATTTTGAACGTCGTCAGTGTTGCACCGACAGCTATTATATAAAATCAGTTTGACTGAGAGAAAAATGCTATTTATAGAGATATTTTATTAATTTTTTTCATGAAGCACGCAAAAGATATTGATTATGATGCATGCAAGTTTGTTAATGTTCGCGTTTTTTCTGGGATAGCCATCGTATTATTCTTACCTTCAACAATTTCATAGCTTTCCATCATGCATTGGTAATAACAGTAAGTTGCAGAGTGGTCTCGACTAATAGCGTTTTTCTTGAGACCGTCTGAATGGATTCATTTGTCGGACAAGTAGCCCGTTGGTACTTTGAATAATATTGGTCAAAAAGCACACATTCAGAAGAACCTGCTGGTCCATAGTTTTGATCACATGAACCGGTCACTAACTGTAGGTGAATAATAATAATAATGAACAGGCATCCTAAGACCTTAGCTCCCATTTTTAAAGGTTTTATACTGTTCAATATGTTATCTATAGTGGATTTATAATATGTGTCAAGAGCTGTCATCGAGAAACAGAAAAATAGATTTGTGATAAAACATTAAACTTTGTACTATTGCCTCTTCATATAGTTGTTCCTATCGTAAAGATACATTTCTTTAGTCTGTTAAACAGAAAGTCCAAAATTAAAAGTGACGCAGGTCTTGATTTTTTAAAGAAAAAACACTAATAAGTTTATATATATATATATATATATATATATATATATATATATATATATATATATATATATATATATATATATATATATATATATATATATATATATATATATATATATATATATATCCCAGTGAGCTTGAAATAAAAGATACCACAGAGTCTGATACAATTGTACCATTACCATTGACGTGTTTTTAATAGATAAAGACGTTAATGGTAATGGTACAACAAAGTTTTATGATAAATATGGTGTCGTTAACTTTTCAATTGTCAACTTCCCTTATTTCTCTCACTTATGCAGCAATATACCCCTGTCACCTGCATATGGGATGTATATCTCTCAAATTGATTCGATTAAACATGCTCTACGTATGAACAACTTCTAAAACGAGGTTAGTTATTGACAAACAAGTTGATGACACAAGAATATCAACAGTCTCGTTTAAAGTCATCATTTCGTAAGTTCTATGGTCGACAGTGTAGTTGTCAGCAAGTACTATCTATCATTAGGTCAAATGCTGACTAATGTTGTTATTATTTACACACTGAATTGTCGACAGATTTTTCAGTTATTTCCCGATCATGACAAGGAACACATGGCGGGTGTGACCGGTCGGCAGGGGATGCTCACACCTCCATGGCACCTGATCCCACCTCTGATGTTTTTGGTGGTCCGTGTTTGCTCTGCGTCCGATGTGTATTGTTTTAATGGACTTTGAGCTTGAACACTTATCGTTATCTCCATATTTCATGACGTACATTTCTACTGATATTATACAGTGGTAAAAACTGAAACGGAACGTAACTTTTCTGTTCACCATGTCTCCAGGTGTTAGTCAGTTCCTAGACACACTTCCGTGAATAATTCATCTCATCTCGCTGTAGTCTCGCTAAATCTCACTAGAGCTACTGCGAACTCCTCGGGTATTTTAATTTGCAGAACACCGAAAAATGAAAGGTTCCAAATACATTAGTAAGGGTGATAAAAATGTGAACAAAAGTCACGTAAAATAAACAGCATGAACACATGTCGCCCATTCCACGCCCGTGACAAGAAAGCAATCAGGAGTAACAAATGCAATGGGTATATCTAAGCGCTGATAACTTGGATCGTATTCATTAGGTCTTTCCACCTTTCTGTGGAAAGACCTCTTGAAATGCTTATGTTTATTATTATTATTATTATTTTTCTTCCCGGACTTTTGAAACCGCAAGACTTATCGAAAAACTTTATAGTTCATGACACTGGATATTAAAAGTTATTCCGAAAAACGACCCCCCGTGTTTGACCTATGACCTCTTACAAAGTTATTGCCCCTTTCGCAAGAACAGCTTGTTATCGCTACTCCTTCGAAACCATAAACCGTAGAGATACAGAACCTTCACCAATGTCTTTGACTACTTGAGAGGACCTTTCAATCTATTCATTGCGAAATGATTTGTCGATCCCTTCAATGAGTTATTGCCCCTGAAAGTTTATGAAGTTTACGTATAATGAAAAATTTTCAAAACGATAAGTCGTAGAGACATGGAACCAACTGCATTAGAATCTTTGACCTCAGACCTTAAAATTTTTGTCAAGGTCAAAGGTCAAGGTCATGCAAAACATGAGAAATTAAGCTCTTTTTATATCTCTTTTGTCTTTCAACCTATACTATATATCTTTACATCTTTGATATGTCCTCTTAAAACTATTTCACAGATTTTATACATGTCCCCTAAGATTAATCCCTTTAAAAGTTATTGCCCCTTTCACTAAAAACCTTGTTATCGCTACTCCTTCGAAACCGTAAACTGCACAGACACCAAACCTTCACTAATGTCTTAAGGGTCTTTAGACACAACTTCAATCTATTCAGTGTGAAAGGATCTGATGATCCCTTATATGAGTTATCGCCCTTTAACGTCTTTGCGATTATTATTAATCCTTATAACTTTAAAACTAAAAGTCGTAGAAGCATGGGGTCGAGTGCAATGTGACCCTTGACCTTTGACCTTTAATATTTGTTCAAGGTCAAAGGTCAAGATCATTTCAAAATTTTTTAAATTTTCATTTTTTCTATCTTTCAAGCCATTTATGGATTCTTTTTGTATAGAAATTAACTTTAGAGAGTAAAATATGAAAAATATTTGAAATTGAAAGAAGGTGGAAAGACCTCTAATTGTTCGAGAACAATTAGTCTACTAGTTAGTAATAATATTGCTTATGCCTATTTAATGTCTGATCAACACCATTCGCAATTAAATTGTTTTTTGGAAATCATATCAACGAATTTGCCACTTGTTGTATCGTGATGAAAAATGTTTCCTCTTTTAGAGCAGAGAATACTCAAATTTTGACCAGATAATTAGCACTCATGCAAATCAAAACAATACTTCAAACGGAAATACGTCATAACGTGGAGGTATCCCATACTATCTTAAACACGTTTCTGCACAAAAAATAGAGGTACGTTAGTAGGAATTTGGACAAGATACCAGGGGGTGATATTTCTTCCACAATCCACATTGGTTCTCTTCTGAATGGCCTGTCACAATTTTTGGTGTACTATTATTAAAAAACATATTGAAAACAGTTTAGAAATTGCAAGATAATGACAATTATGAATATTTCTTTATATAATATCAAGAGATACAAAACATATATTTGAGGAAGGTGTCGTCTGACCTTAAAACAAATTTGAGTTGAATTTCCCACATTTCTCCTTATCTCATCAAAACAAGATTGGACGTAAGAACAGTTTAATTTGAAAGAAAATATATACATTTATATTTAAGAATTCTACAAATGCAAGTATTACGTATTATCATGAATATTTTGAAAAAGAATGTTAGTAAGAATATAGAAATTAGTATTTCACACTATGATTAGTAAAATTGAATTACTGATTATATAGTTTTAACAATTTATGTTCCCTGCTTAGGAGTTGTTCAATATATTTACAATGTAACATTTCATTTGAAACAAATCATAATCAAACATGTACTTTTAAGAAATATACAAAATATCTAGAAGTATATTTCCATTAGCATAACCTTAATGTATACATTTTCTAATTCATATTATTAACTAATGTTTGAGTATCTCTTTGTTTCGAAATGATAACTTTCAAACAATTTTTGCTTGAATTGCGCCTCTTCATGCATATAATTACAAAAGCAACTATTATCAGAAGCAGAGAGGACCCAATTGCTGTAAAAATTCTGTTTGTTAACGACCAAACCCCTTCGTCTATATCTTTTTGACCAGCAGACGGTTCGATTTCGATAGTTGTGTTAGAGCAGTTGTAGTCGGCGCATACCGCGAATTTTACTAGTGAAATATCTGTAATCATATCTGATCGTAGATTGCCATTACGGAATGCGTGCGTTGTCTCTTCAACAACGCTTGTTATATTTATATACGCGGAAGTATTCCTTCTATCATTTAAATTGTATAATTTGCTGGGTGCAAGTAAGATATTTAAATAGTACCTCCTCGAATACTGCATGGATTCGTCTGCTGTTAAGTTGTTTTGAAAGTATGCAACCCATTTCACTCCTTTTATATGCCATCCCATTTTGTTTGCAATCGCTTTAACAAGGTCTGCCCCAGCTGAAAAATCATCTGTCGATTGCAAAGACCGCCGGGACCTTGTTTGTCTATTAAGACCGATATACCTGATCTGAATTTGTTGAATTTTTCTTTCTTCCGACAAAATTGTTTCGCGGTCTTTACATGCATTACGTACATTCAATAACTGTTTAGCTGATAAAAATATGTCTTTACAGAGATGTCTGGTTCGATAACAATTGGACATCAGTCCCGGTATTACTGTATAAAATATTCTCCATTTATCCATGAAGGATAAGTCGCAAAACGATGGTGCATTTTTAATTGGGTTTGTATAACAACCTAAATGAGAATTGAATGCTTTTTCTTTTATTTCACCGCAAGTGATTGTTAAAAAGGGACGAAGAAGCGGAACCAGTGCGACCTGGAGACACCCTCTAACGGCATCAATCCACTGCTGACCTTCAGTCGAAAAGCTCTGGTAATGTTCTTCGTACAAGTTGCAGAATTTAAGACCATAGTTTATTGCGTATGATGTTTGTTGCATTTCTTGACATGGGAATCGTCTCTATTGTAAAATAAAAAAAGAAGGTATCTCAAAATTGAGGCAATTAACCAAGCCTATTATAACAAAACAATATACATTTTTTTCAATAAAACAATAAATTACTAGATAATAGCGTTAAAATAGAACTAATAACCTCCAAACAGTCAGAATACCAACTGCAATCTCCACCCGAAGGACTGTAGCAATGGTTTGGAAGCTGAGTTTGGTTCGTCGGTGGAGTTTGTGTTTGTTGTGGGGCATCAACTCCACAAGCACAATCGTTACATACATGTCCTGTAAATTGTAAAATGAAGGGAATATTTCAATCAACAAGATGCAAGAAAAACATCCTAAATCTATTTGATATGGCACTAGTACTTCTGGTTCGTATATGAAATGGAAGCAGCCTTTGCTTACCTTCAGCAATTTCATATAATTCCATCATGCATTGGTAGTAGCAGTACGTTGCAGTGTGGTCTCGACAGATGGCGTTTCCTTTTGATACTGTCTGTATGTATTTATTTGTTAAGCACGTCGCCCATTGGTACTTTGAATAATATGGATATAAAAGCACACATTCAGGAGTACCAACTGGTCCGTAGTTCCGATTGCAATCTCCAGACACTAACTTTAGCCCAATAATTCCAGTGAGAACAAAATATATGAAAAATCTTGCCATGTTTTATTTTCTTCCTTCTAGCTGAAAAGCTAAACCCCGAATGTTAGGTATTTGCAGTGATTGTGTCACGTGGTCTTTTTCAAATAATGGAAAAACCGTGCATTATTAAGAAAACAAATTTTCTGTGTGCAGCCTAGCAAGACTGTTTATTTTATAAAGGCACTTTACTTTTACTTGAAAACTGATCACAATCATCATCTTCAAATATGAACATATAAATAACCGTCGTACACATTTGTGCATATTACACCTATAGGACCACACATCCAGATCCGGTTTTAGCTGTGCACTGAAACATCCATCCAAAAGAAAAATACCATTATGTAAACAGCTATGTACAACAAAAATCCAATCATTTCAAAATATGTAAGAATCGTGGAAAATAAGTATTCTCGTGTAAAAGTTGAAAATAACGAACAATGATCAAGCTTGTAAATCCAGTAAAAATATTGATTATAAACAAGGCAAAACCACTGAACTTTGGAAATATCATGATTGGGGCCAGATCCTTAAATGATTTATCGCATGATTTTTCAAAAATCTAAATTTTATGAAAAACATTATCTACAACCTTGTTTATTAAAATACTGAATACAATAAACGTTGTTAATAGCATATTTTAAGAGATATTAAGAGTTGAAATTCAAATACGGAAATATGCATATTTCGGCCGGATTTCGGCGAGATACTGCTCTGACGTCATAGGCGACAATTCAGTGATAGCGAGATGAGAATTTGCACACTATTTACGGAGTTATCAACGACAATTGCAGCCTAATTACAAAAACTGCTGAAAAAATTAATTTTCAATGTGCTTTTTAATTACTGTAGAAACATTGACTAGTTCTAAGGTATAAGACTTTTGAGATATTTTCGTTTTTTATTCCAAATATTTAGTATCTGTAGGTCTGATTACGGCAATGTTTCGTGATCGGAAAATATTTTTCAAGACCGCCATCCTTTCCAAAACATATCAAGGCATACTTGCATAAATTAATATTATGTTAAAAACGAAGAATAACAAAGTTATATAATATTAAATTTGTGAATCAAGTAAGTTAATACATGTGGTAAGATGACAAATCAAATTGTATTGTGATGGCGAGTTTCTTCGTCTTCGCTGCGTCTCCCTCGCTATCGTCGCTGCTATTTTTACAATGTTAACAGATTTTTCAGATTTTTTCTTGCTGTCAATTCTAAAATATAAGGTTTGATTTTCAAAGATCAGTGATTTGGTCGTCCAAAATGCAGAAAATTCAGAGAGTATCACGTATATTTTAGTAAGATTAACGTGGAGAGCTGACCAGCCATTGTCGTCTTTGACTCACAGGGTCACGTGATCGCTATCTTATTAATTTAGATTTTTAATTCAGGGGTTTTCATTTAAGTCAATAATTGGTTAATTACCCCGGATTATCCGCAGTAAAAACACAAAATTTATAAACTGTGGTCATAAGGAACGTTTTACGCTTTTAATTTCAAATAATTTAGAAACATGCGATAAGTCCTTTAAAAAGAGTAAACATCCTCTGTCATACGATCAAATTTGCCTTGAGCTTCTTATATTGATCTGGTAAATGGAGTAGCGCACATTCAAATAAAAGCAATGGCCTACCAATTTTTAGGAAACGGAAACTTTCCAGTTAAATCTGAACCAATGAAAGGTTGTATTTGTAAATAAAGTCATTTTAACAACCACATACTTTTCGAAATGTTATTTTGAACAAGAAATCGTAACTCTTTCTAAGGAAGAAATTCTTCAAAATCATATATCAGTTTTGAATATTTCTAATATTCCAAACAACCAAAATGAATTAGAATTACCATATATATATTGGATTTCGAAACTTTATAAAAATCCTTAAAAACAAAGATACAGAGCGGGTTCCAGTAAATGTTCAACCAAGCCTCTTTCTTTACTCCTCACTAAGATATTAATAAGACGGAAGGGGAAACGTTAAGAGTACTGTGCAACAATATCTTCGACAAGTGGTGTAAATCAGACGTAGATACTTAAAAATTTCAAGGAACTTTTGGAAAATTTGAAATCACAAGATTTTACCAAAATCAACAGTTTAATATCTTACGACTTTTCAACTTTATACACAACCATTCCCCACGATAAATTAAAATCCAGGCTTTTTGATATCATTGACAGCTGCTTTTTCAATAAAAATGGAACTCGTTAATTTACTTACCTTGTCATTGCTCATTTGCAAAATTATTTTGTTAAAAAAACATTCTGATTGTTCACATAAGTACTCTGAGGTTGACATTAAAAAGATGCTTGAGTTTCTGATTGACAATATTTATATGGTTTTTGGAGACGAAGTTTTCCAACAATCTATTGGAATTCCCATGGGTACCAATTGGCCCCGTTATTAGCAGACCTTTTTTGTATTCATATGAAGCAGAATTTGTTCAAAATCTTATACGTAATCAGAAGAAAACACTTGCTGTGGCCTTCAACTCGACATTTAGATATCGACGACGTATTGTCAATTAACAATGGCTATTTCCATTCTTATGTCAAACGATATATCCTGGTGAGCTTGAGATAAAAGATACCACAGAGTCTGACGCATCTGTTTCATATTTGGATATTTTACTTGAAAAAGACGTTAATGATCATCTAACAACCAAGCTTTATAATAAACGTGATGACTTTAACTTTTCAATCGTCAACTTCCATTACTTATGCAGTAATATACCTTCATCACCTGCTTACGGGGTTTATACCTCTCAGTTGATTCGATATGCAAGAGCATGCTCTACGTATGTACAATTTCTAAAACGAGGTAAATTATTGACAAACAAGTTGATGAAACAAGAATATCAGCAGTCTCGTTTAAAGTCATCATTTCGTAAGTTCTATGGTCGATACAATGACCTTGGCAGCAAATACAATTTATCATTGAGTCAAATGCTGACTGAAGTTTTTCATGATTTGTATTTTTTGTGGGAGATTTCCAAAACAAGACAAGCTAATAACAAATATTTGATGATACACGGTTATCAACAATCTCTTTTAAACATTTCTCGAATTCTATGGTTAGATGCAATGACTTTGTTAGGAATCGCAATCTATATTTAAGTCGAATGTTGGCTGAAGTCTTTTATACAAACTATTGCACCATTATGTTCACAATGATTTGTCTCTATGTTTTACCCGATCATAGCTAGGAGCATTTGAACACGGCAGGTGTGACCGGTAAACAGGAGATTATGTAATATGATTCTTAAATGTTTTAAAATCATTCAAGACCTAACTCCTGTATCTTTTTCAAATTTAATTAGTATAAAGAAACTCAGGTACAACTTGAAATCTTCGAATAGTCTAAAAATTACTTCAGTTATAACCTCCTTATATTGCCATTTAGATGAGCAGCAACAGTTTTTATGGACCTTACTATTAGAAAATTTGTAAAACAATTTTAAAAGTTCATGATTATGATAGCTTATTGGAATTGCAAGGGATGTTAATGCATAACTTGCCATACAAGTTAAGTTCCGTGATCTGTGTTGTTTGTTTGTTTATTTGTTTGTACATGTGTGTCTTCTGCAATTTTAAACTCTATTTTAAATTTGTCTTTCTGTATGACGGTTTTAGTACTGTATTGTAGCTTTAATTCCACATGTTTTCCTGTTTTACGGTTACAATACCAAACACAGACCAAATGAATGTCATTTTAATTCAGCGCTATTGAAAAATAATAACATCCAAGTAAATTATCGCATATAAACTTAGATTTAATTCTGCATCTGGTAGTCCAAATTATACTCATAGTTTCCTTTCTAAGGAGGAATGTTCCCAACAATCAAATTGATTCTGAATTACCGTACCTACACTTCATTATTAAATTAGGCATATGAACATCCTTACAAAAAAGATACATAGTGGGTTCTAGTAAATGTTCTACCAAGCCTATTTTGTCGCTTTTCGTTGCGCAGTGGTAGAGCGTTTGCATTAGAGTCGACGAATAAGGAGCTGATCTTTATGTCGCGGGTTGGAATCCCACTGGGGAGGGGGGGGGGGGCGAGGAGGCCAGTCCTTCGGATGAAATCGTATAAACCGAGATTCTTTGTTGCACTACGTTTTGGCTCGAAAAATATCCCTCGCTCCTGAAAAGCCATAAGTGCCCAGTACAAGTCTTGATGTGCAGCAATCTACGTCTCAATATGAGTGAAAAATTGTCGAAGGGACGCTAAACAAAAATTATAACAGCAATGAAGGCAAAACTTCAGAAATACTGCACAATAATATATTCGAGAAGTGGTGTAAATCAGATGTGGATATTTAAAATCCCCAAGGAACATTAAGAAAATTTGAAATCACAAAATATTACCAAAATTATTAGCATCAAAACGTTTAATTTTTTGCCACCAAAAATTAAGGTCTAGGCTTTTTGACATCGTAGTCTGCTGCTTTTTGAACAAAAATGGAAGTCCTAGGTTTATTTACCTTTTAGCAATGATAAGTTGTATCTATTGATGACACTAACTGTCATGTTTGGGATGCTGTATCTGACCTTCATTTCCTGGATGAACATGGAATTTTTTAATATCCTAAGTTAGTATTTAAAATCCCTACTAAAACCAAATTGCAGGAATTACTGAATGTAGAGAAAGTATTTTACAACACAGGCTTTATAAGCAGCATGAAATGTGAAGATAACGAACAGTATTCAATCTCAAAAGTCCAATGAAACAATACAAATTTGAAGCAGAGCAAACATGGACATCAAAATAAAGAGGTGGGATCAGGTGTCATGGAGGAGTGAGCATCTCCTGCCGGCCGGTCACACCCGCCGTGTGCTCCTTGTCATGATCGGATAATAACGGAGAAATCCGTAGACAGTTCAGTGTATAAATAATGGCCTAATAATTAGTATGAAAAACGTCAGTCAGCATTTGACTCAATGATAGGTTGTATGTGCTGACAAGGTCATTGTATCGACCGTTAAACTCGGGAAAACGAGACTGTTGATACCATTGTTTCATCAACTTGTTTGTCAACAGCTTGCTTCGTTTTAGAAATCGTTAATACG